TTCTTATGAACTTTTTAGTGAAAGCATTCATTAATCCGGCCCCTGAACCCACAGCTCCACAATACTGGGAAACAGGCTAATGATGTTAGCGTAGTTGCGACTTTTTGGACAGTGGACCTCCAAAAACAGAAACGGGGTAAAGTCCACTCTGAAAATGGACTGCTGTCAATATGCACTGTGGCGGTTGCCTCATTGCCTGAATATGCTGCCTCAGAACACTGCCAGTTTGTCAAGGCCTTAAAGGCGTGGGCTGTGGTGAGGGATGAGCTGGCCTTCTTGGCTTGGAGTCTCTTACAGATGGACTGAGATGCTGTTATAACTCATAATAACAAGGAGTAAACAGTGGACTTTACCACCAGGAACCATTTCATTATAGTTCCTACATGGAAAACAGTGTTTTATGGTATTTTAGTAATGTTTTCAAAACAACACTAATCTGAAATAATGAATACTTTAAAGTACAGCAAATGTTTTTCACCGCCAAAGTATAAATGAATGGATTACTCGAATAATTAACCTATTATATACTGTACTATGTTAAAGGCTTGAGCAGAGCATATTAGAAGATTGCTGTAAGGATGATTAGTTCTGGACATGCCAACATCTGCCAAAGGTATTGGATGGAGCTCCATCACTCCAGAGAACGCAGTTCCACTGCTCCACAGCCCAGGGGGGCTTTATACCCCTCCAGTCGAGGCTTGGCATTGGACATGGTGATCTTCAGCTCATGCGCAGCTGCTCCAGAGCGGCTCATTCTATTAGCAATGCTTTTGGATAGATTATCCAAATAATAGGTAAACCTAGCCAAATTACGTGATTGCAAGGGGTGTATGGACACTTTGGACATACACTGATCGGCCACATCAAAACCACCTCCTTGTTGCTATGCTCTGTCCATTTTATCAGCTCCACTTACCATTTTGTAGTTTACAATTACAGACTGTAGTCCACCTGTTTCTCTGCACACTCTGTTATCCCCCTTTCTTCAGTGGGCAGGACCCCCACAGAGCAGGTACTATTTGGGTGGTGGATCATTCTCAGCACTGCAGTAACACTGACGTGGTTGCGCTGGTGTGAGTGGATCAGACACAGCAGTGCTGTTGGAGTTTTTAAACACTGTGTCCACTCACTGTCCACTCTATTAGACACTCCTACCTTATCAGTCCATCTTATAGATGTAAAGTTAGAGACGACAGCTCATCTTTTGCTGTACAGTACGAGCTAATCATCCTCTAGTCCTTCATCAGTGGTCACAGGACGCTGCTGGCTGGATATTTTTGGTTGGTGGACTATTCTCAGTCCAGCAGTGACACCGAGGTGTTTAAAAACTCCATGCTGAGCATGATCCACCACCCAAATAGTACCTGCTCTGTGAGGGTCCATGGGGGTCCTGACCACTGAAGAACAGGGTAAAAGGGGGCTAACAAAGTATGCAGAGAAACAGATGGACTACAGTCTGTAACTGTAGAACTACAAAGTGCACCTATATAGTAAGTAGAGCTGATAAAATGGACAATGAGTGCAGAAACAAGGAGGTGGTCATAATGTTATACCTGATCTGTGTATAAGGTTATATATTTAAAGAGAAAGTCACTGGAAAATGAAGGTCAACATATAAAATCCTTTATTTTCCCATAAAGCTCCCTGACATGTCTCAGCTAGACATGTTTTACTCTAATAAATATTTTGAACAGACATGATCCAGACACTGACATCACTAAACAGACTGTAAAGTTAAGACTGTATTGAAACTAGTTAGTTTGATCGTACCAAACATCAGTGTTGTCAGCACAGTTGATTGCTATAAAAGAACCATAAAACTCTTCTGAAAAACAAATAAACCTGTATAAACCAATACAAACTCTTAGCCCTTTTACAATACAGCATTAAAGTCTGAACTGTACATTTGTAGCATGGTAGGTCCAAAAAGATGATCCACTTTGGTATAGAAGTATAAATGTTTGTGTGTTTGTTTTGTGCTGAATAAAATCTGATATAGTGCCATTTTCCAAATAGAAACCCTAAATATAACTGCTATACTATAAGGGGCAGATGAACATAGGAGTACAACCAGTTTCACCTCAACTTTAGGGATATTAGTGTGAAGAACAGGTTGAAAAAACATTTTCAGTGTCCTTCAAAATTACTGTATAAGTCAATGGGACTTTTTTAAAGGGCTTATTTCAAGAGAAACTGTAGTTTCCAAGTTTTTTTAAAGAAAATAATTTTATTTTTCCCCCTAAGGTTTATGTTTGTGTGGTTTTATGTACCACTCTTTATCCATTAGAATTAAACAGGCTGTTTTTGTTACTGTGCATTTAAGACTGATATATGTGAATGAGCTCTGTTCTGATTGGCCGTCCTGTTCAAAAAGCACGCAGGGTGAAACACTCAGTATAACTTCAGTGTGAATAAGTGGCACTAAACTGCTGTCAGTTGAATAGATAATATGGATATATGTAAAATGTAGTTTTTGTGACATCACAGAAACAATAATTACAAAATGGGCTGTTTTTGCACCTTAGTGTCCACATCAGTGGGATATGGAGTGAAGGATGCATGATACATTTTAAAACTCATTATTAAACACTACACCAAGCTCTTATTTCAAGAAAGAGAGAAAAACTTACCCTTCACTTCCCAGTATACATGATCAATACATTAAGTTGCCAAAAAAAGCCTGTTCTGAATTCATCTTTTTTGTGAGGTCATAAAAAGCAACACATTTGTATCTATAAATCTATCTAGTGGCGCCCATTCACGCTGATGTTGTAAGGAGGAATGTGCAGGCCAAACTGCTTTTTAAATGAGGCACAAAGCATAGCAGCCAATCAGAACAGAGATCATTGTACTTGATAATGTGACGGACACATGTAAATGACAATAAGAGCTTATTTAATTCTAAGGGATAAAGAGAAGTCAGAAAATACACACACACACACACACACACACACACACACACACACACACACACACACACACACACACACATATTCTAAACAGCTTAACCTTCTGGGTCGCAGGGGGAGCTGGAGCCTATCCCAGCAGTCATTGGGTGGAAGGCAGTCAGAAAATAGTCATGTGAAAATTAATCATAACTGTTTTTGGTACATAAAACCACACAAAAGTGGACCTTAATAAAATACAAGTGAAACATAAGATATGGGCCCTTTAAAATACTACTGTGTCCTCCGCCTTAATAAAGAGGTTAGCTGGCTCCCCTGAGGCCAAGCTAGAATGACACCATATCAGAGCACATCAGCACAAAACACATATGGGTGTTTTGCGGGTATGCAAATTCTTCCTCCTCTGAATCAAAGGCGGTGAATTATGTACTGTGTTGAAAACAGTTCAAAACAGACTGACAAGAAACAATCCATAAGCATGTCGGAGATCATCACGAATTTAACAACACAGACAAACCACAAGACAAACACGACACTATTTCAGTGCACACACAAACACACACACACACACGTAGCTCAAAGTGCCTCAGGGTGAAGGCAATAAAGATAAATATTTGTCTAAACTTCACTACAGGATGGCAGCACTAAACACGAAACATCTAATCCAACCATTACATCGCTAAACAAGCAAACACAGATTTTTCTGACTGGCAGAGTTTGAAGGGGCACTCAGGTCAAAATTAAAATTCCAGTCATTGCTACATCTGTCGTGAGCAGCGGTGTGGCAATAATCTCTAGAGTGAGATTTTCTGCTTTAAAGAGCTTTTGATGATTTATGTTGAAGGTGGGAGGGGCTTCTGAAAACCTATGGGGTGGATTTTTGAGGGGTCTAACTTTTTTTTTAGCTTGTGAATGCAGAAGAAGGGAGATGCTAAAAACATATTACTGCTAGCAACATTATTACATTGGAGAGAATGGATTACTGAACAAGCTAAAGGCTAAAGTTAGCAAGGTAGCTAACTCAGTTTTGCATCTTTTCACTGGCTGAAAAGGTAAAAGAACACTAGCTGGTTGTAGTGATTAGCCTATAGATCAGTGGCTAGACTAGCAGTCAGGATTGGTTGACACTACAGGGTTTTCTTGTGGCTGTATTGTCTTTTTGCGTAGTGCATGATGGGTATTGTAGTGTGAGAACACTCATGAATACATAAAAATGATCGAAATTCATGAATTCTATCAAACTGATGGGGTTGAGCGATGCAATGCCGTGCTACAGAACACTACATAACATAAACAACATATCAAACTCTAGTTTTAGGGTGGGATACCCCTTTAACAAGTTTAAAAGGTTTAGAAACTGACATCCAAACCCCCTTCAGTCACTGACTGAGCTGCTATTCTGTCGAAGTGATTCAGAAGGTACTGGTGAGTTGTTTATTTCTTTGGAAAAGTACAGGCTTGAACAGTTGTACTATTGCATAACCTCATTTCTGTATGAGTGCGTAATTCCCGTTGCAAAACTATCCCATTTGTAAGTTAAAGGGGCCAAAGAAATGGAATGATATCCAACAGGAAGCTCTAATATTCTGCCCAGTCAACCATGGCCTGTGATGCAATCTGTATGTAGCAGACAGCTCAGCACTGATTGCGCTCTGAACGTCACGTGATAATAAGTCAACAAAAGAAAGTAAGCAGCAGGTCATCATGCTCTGATGACAATCATTACACTCCAGCGCACAAACACTGTTAGGTCAGCAGAGACCTTGTCTAATGACCGAGGACATTCATTAACCGACACACAAACATTCGCACAGAGTTATGTTTGCAGATCCAGGGACACCAAGAGTGCAGACACTTCAACCTGATAACAGAGTGAAATCTCTAACAGCCTGTACACAACAGAGAGAGGAGAGAGAGAGAGAGAGAGAGAGAGAGAGAGAGAGAGAGAGAGAGGGGAAAAAGAAAAGGTAGAGAGAAAGAAAGAAAGAAGAAAGAAAGAAAGAAACAGAGAGAGGAGATAAACAGAAAGAAAGATACCACAAAAAAAGAGAAAGAAAGAGACCATGAGAGAGAAACAAAGAGCAGCAAGAGAAAAAAGGGGAACGTGAGAAGACTTGTAACAGAGAGAGAGAGAGAGAGAGAGAGAGAGAAGTGAGAGGAAAAAAAAGGAGAAAGCGAGAAGACAGGGAACAGAGAGAGAACAAGAGAAAGAGAGAGATGTTTGCCCACTTATTCCATCCTTAAAAACCCATTAGGCTGTGAAGGTTAAGAATGCTCGTGCTGAGATGTAGCAAGCTGAAGCCTGCTGATGTGCAACCGCGATGACAGTCACAGCCAACGTCTACAGACATGCCAGCAGCATTTAGCAATGCAGCGCATTTACTTCTTTATACAGAACTCGATACCATAACTAAACTAGTGCATTAGAGTCCAACATAACCACAATTAAAAAGGTGTTAGTCATTATTAGTGCTCAGTCTGAAAAGTGCAAAGAAAAATTAATCAACAGAGATAATAAAGAGCTCAGTCTCAAAAAGGGTTTGTGTTACCAAAGTGAAAGTAAAAATAAGTGAACTGGTGACAGTTTTCCAAATACAACATAACATGGTCATGTTTAAACTCCGTGTTTGACATACACTGCAGTACAAAGGTTGGACCGGCCAGCTGCTTTCCTACACAGTGCAGGACGATATGGGCCTCGTCCATTCTCAGATTAAGTCTTAGCATGAGTGTCAGACTCCTGGCAGCAGGAGCACAGCACAGTGCCAAAGGTGTGCTAAGTAAGCCAAGTCTAAAGCTGAGAAACACTTTCAGAGGAGAGTCAATAGACTTAACAGGGAATTCGACTGACTTCTCAAAATTTCTGCATGATTTAATGGTCAAGATGTAAACAAAGTCGATCAAAGTGGTTTGATGTGTTCTAGAGAAACTTACAGAGTCAGAATCGTTCACAACGGTGGTGACAGGAACCAGACGTCTGAGGAGTTTCATGCCTCTAAACAATGACAGAAACATTGTTTTACAATAGTTTTGAGATAAAGTTTTGGCCTAAAACATATTTATTTATCCATTCATGGCAGCGATGTACATGCAGGATGTTGTGAGAAAGAATAGTCCCCAGTTTCCAGATTTATCATTATCACTAACTTTACATACAAATATACATACATGTAGATACATGTAGGCTCACTGCATGGTAGACATCATGACCCCTGGTTACTATAACCACCACTGTTTACATCCAAACCATTGAATGATGCAGAAATTTTGTAATTCCCCTTTAATCTGTGAAAATCTAATTAATATTTTTTTATATTAGTATAAGTGTATATAAAATGTAAATATTACTCTGAATAGATTCATATTTAAATTTCTTTCGAATTTTGTTTTGTGATGTGTGCCGCTGTTACCAGCTAGTGCTATAGTAAATCTAAAAAAAACAGCATAATGTAATAACATCATACAGGCCAGAACTATGGTAAAACTAAAACGTGCACGGTCTAAAAAAACTTCACAGCTCAGATGCTGGTGGGTTTAAAATCATTCAGCACATTCTGAACATACCTTCCAATCCTCAGGGATGATTTTCCAGTCCCAAATTAAGCCTAAACTAATGTGATTTTTAATGGTTAAAATTATTACCAACAGAGCGTAGTCTGAAACTAGGCTTAATCCATGTCCAGAAAACCAGCCCTTAAAGCAGATGTATCAAACTGGGTTCCTTCTGGGCTGCAGCTCTGCACAAATAAGTATTTCCCCTCTTCTGACATTCTGAACTCAACTCATGAAGGAATTGCTGCTTAGCCGATGAGCTGAATCTGTGTTTAATGAGGATGAACACTGAACTCTGTAGAGCTGAGGCCTGGAAAAACCCAGTTTGACACCCCTGCCTTAAAGAAACAACAACCATGCTGGCAAGGCTAACAAAGACTGGAAGTTAGTAGGCATCGATTAGCATGATGTTATTTGCATAATAACATTAATTGGTGGACTTTTGCTTTCATTCACTATTAGCATTTCACAATGAAGGTAGATTTTGTTGGCATCGTCAGCAACATTAGCTTTTTCCGACCATTCCTTTAAGCAATGGACCTGAGATGATGGTACCACAGTCACCCAAAGAGATTGGACTTGGGCCTGGACCTAAATGAACTGGGGGTTTCTCTTGTCTCCCTCTCGAAGTGCCCAGATAGAGACGTGCTGTGCACAATTTGCGTCCTTGTGCGGATCTTGCTCAGCCTGGGCCTGAGCCCTCGCAGGGAGGTCTTCCTGCGTGGCACTTTTTCCCTGGTGAGCCCTGCGTTCTCGGCTGCTGTGCTCACATCGTCCTCGCTCGTGCTGTGGTGCAGCAGCTTCAGCGGCCTGAGGTTGGCCTGGAAAACCTTGGACAGTCTCCACCCACTGCCTTCTCCACCATTAGTATTCTGGCCATCAACTTCTGTGCCTGCGCCAACTATGTCCAGGACGTCCCGCGCCACCTCGCCCCTTAGGTACTGGCTGGCTTTCTTGCCACTGTAGTCTCGTGCCTCCACGTCAGCGTCGTACGCACCGATCAACAGCTTCACCACATCCATGTGGTTGTGCATTGCTGCCAGGTGCAGTGGTGTGTAGCCGGCACTAGAGCGTGCGTTCACATCCACCGGAACACCATGCTGTGTGGCGAAGCTCACGAGGAGCGCCAGCAGCTCTGCTTTGCCCAGCTTGGCGGCCCAGTGGAGGCATGTGAAGCCCGTCACGAAGTCCTTCTTGCATACAAGGCCCGGCTCAGTGCCCAGCAGCCGCCTCAAACTCTCCCACTCGCCGTCGCTCGCACACATCATCCACTCATGCTCCAAAGGCTCCAGCGCAACCGTGGCGTTCTCGTAGTCTGCCGTACCAGAGGTGGCATGCACAGAGGCAGCATCGCTGTCGCTCCTTGCAGAGGAGTCCTTGCCCCTGGTGGACAAGTGCACAGAGCTCCTCAGCGCCATGCTGCGCCGGACCTGCGGCGAGCTGTGCATCATGTGCTCAAGGAAGCTCTTCCGGCTGCCTTTTGGGGTGTTGATGTCGCTCCCTGGCACTAAGTCTACGTGCGCCTCATCTGCAGACCGCTGACCACGTCGGGATCCTCCAGACGGCTTGCGTCTGAGCCACTGGGACTCCTTCTGATCAGACTCCCTTTCAAGTTCCAGTGGGGTCGCCTGATCAGATGTACCTTTTAGACCCAACGGGGTGGCCTGATCAGATGGATTTTCCAGACCCTTCTGGGTGCTGTGATCAGATGTTCCCTCCAGGGGGACAATCTGATCTGATCTACTGTCCAACTCTACTAGGTCTGATCCACCCTTCAAACCATCAGGGACAGTCTGATCAGACCTACTCTTGCTCACTCTTCCAGTCCTGTCAGTCACATGTTGAGGAGACACCTCAGCGACGGTGATTTCTGGTATATCCTTTAGTTTTCTGGCTCCACCTCTCTGGTCTTGAGCAGACCCCTTTTTTGTGAGCCAATTGCCCATCTCTGCCCCATGCGGCTCCGCTCCTGTTGCCGGTGAAGTCGAGGCGCTTCCCGACACGCCCGGAGCGGCAGCAGTTCCGCAACCTGAGCCAGGTGCAATTTCTTGTTTTGCATCTTCGTCCTCGCTCCTTTCTGACGGGACAGTTCCCGTGGCGTGTTTAACGGCGCCGCCGTCCTGCTCACGGCCGTCACGGGTCCCTTCACTCCTCCATCCCCTGAACTTCTTCTTCAGGCAAACATATTTCTCCCCGTTGTCCACTTTAACCACAGCCACGCTGTCCACGTACCTCTTAAAAGCTTCCCTGGCCGCTGCTTTCTTGCCTGGCTCGGTCGGGATGGCTGACCGAAAATGCTCTATCAGATCCACGTTTTTCACTCTCCCTCCTCTCTCCGTTAGAAAACGTAAAACCGTTTCTTGGGTGCAGTCGCTCGCCATCGGATTTAACCTTAATCTGGACGCTTTGTAGCTGGATCAGGCGTCATCGACCACCACAGCCGTTTTCTCACCTACATCAGGCATCCACCAGAAAGCTGCTTGTTTTTTTTTTTTAAGATGTCCACAGCTCGACTCGACGCCTGCCCCGTTTTTAGGTGGTCTATTATTTCCACAGCCTCTCCGTTCATCCCGTTAGGACGCTGGTAATATTCACTATCGCCAGCAAGCGGAGCACCACATTTTAACAAGCGTCTAAAACGCCTCACTGAAACTGCCGCCTTCTGCACGCCATTTTGGATCTAACCGTCGCCCGGCTTTGAATGTAACGGCAGCTCCGTTAGAGCCAAAATGTTCTCAGTTTCTCGAACGTACCACTTTAGATAAGAGGGGGTACTACTTGCCCTCTATAGTCATAACCCACAACTAAACGCGATTTAAGCGTGTTGTTAGTTGCAAAGCACCATTTATTTCGTCGCAAATGAGAGTTGTGTTTTAATTATGTCGGAGTTGGCATATTTTTGCTAAGTTATTTTTTCAAAGCGCACGATTTCCACCCCTCGGTTCCGCGGAGTGATACGTGCCTTCGCATTCCAATCGTTTCTCCAAACTTTTTTCAATCACTTCATCCGCCTTTTCATCTCGGTCCTTTTCTAAAGAAAATAACCCGAAAACTGTAAGTCGTTTATCAACCACAAAGTATGGCTTCGTCTGATGTGGCTCGGCAGGGGGTAAGCACTTTGTTATCTCGACCTTTTCTTCACTTATCATAATCTGGGTTAGGCTTGCTAACCTAAGTTAGCTAGCTTAGCAGCTGACTAGTTTTCACTCTACGGTCAGTGTAGCTCAGCTGGTTAACGGTTTATGTCAGCTGGAGTTCTGTATGAAATATCATTGAAAGTTACGACCACATGATTTTTTACCGTTTTCCAGTTATATAAAACAGTCCACACAAACTCGTCTGCCAGCTGATCATAGTTCATTCAAACTCAGGCTCTGGCTGACAATCTAGCTAACTCAGCTAGCTGCTGCCCAAGACAAGGTTAGAGTTAAGGTAGCTTTAGATATTAGTCATCTTCCATTACTGTGTGGCAGATTTTGATGGTGTGCTTAATAGGCTGTCCATTTGCGTAAACGAAGAAAAATGAGGGATTCTCATGTTACATGATCTATGTACACAATGATGGCCCTGATCAGTATTTCCCAACTCATGAACTTAGTCCACCGACACTAAACAGGTTAGTGTTTTTCTACTTATACAGCTCAAGAAGGACTTGACTTGATCTAGCCAGTGATAATGATGGTGGGTTCATGTTGCAGGGAAAACCTAGAACTCAGGGCTTTGGCTTAGGTCAGTTATCCTTTCTGCTTGTATGTTATGATCCACCAAACCACTGCATTGGCACACAGAGAGCCCGACATGATCTCTGTTATGTCTGAACAAGAGAACAAGAAGGAATCCTAAAACGACCCTGCAGCCCCCATTTCAGTCTAATCAACTCTCATAGAATTGCATGGACAGATATTTGCATTTAAAATATTATAGCAGCCCGACTTAGCCCAAAGTACGCACCCTTTCCCTGAGACCCAGTGATAAACATGACATTGTCCATGCATGGCCCAGTGTCCTCCCGATCCCTTGAATGGTCATGACCCAGAGCTTAAGAAATACTGCAGCGGAGCACAGCAGCATCTTTGGCATGCTTAAGTAAGCAAAGGAGACCGAGATGATTGGTTAGTCTAGCAAAACTCTTTCCTGTTTCACAGAATTAAGAATTTTTTTCCCTCGTTCCCACAAGAATATTTCCTGTGTGAACATTTGATAGTTTTGCTCAGTTCACTTTTCTGTCACCCCTGTAGCTCCAAGACCTAAAGGGGGATTCCATAGGTTTTTTAAAACGTTTGCATAAATAGATTGTTGAGATGTAAACAACGTCATTCAGAGTGGTTTGAAATGAAGTGGTCTATTGTGGAGAAACTTACAGGCTCAGTGAGAGGAACCAGTGTGAACCAGGATCTACTTTACTATCCAAAACCACCAGTGAACCTACACCTGTCTTCTGAGTTTCTGTATGTAATGCTGATGATGGGAACATTATGGTAAATCGCAAACCATGCATTTTCTTTGGGGATTCTCAGGCATCAGGCAGTGTATTTGTAACTTTTTCACATAGTAACTTTCTGTGAAGGAGCTTTTGGAGGCATTAAATCATTCAGATGTCTGGTTCCTATCACTGAACCATTCTGTTCACTGTAAGTTTCTCTAGGACATCTTACATCTTAATCATTCATTTATGCAGAAAATGTGGTAGAAAAAAAGTGGAATTCCCATTGAAGGGTTTGTCTTGATAGACACTTGACCATGTATGGTACAAAACACACTGTAGCAAGACTCTGTGTTTTTGAATATTCCTAAAAATATTTCTATTTCTGCTTTTTTAAGAAATTAGACACTGTGTATGTTGAGTAAAAACCGGCTGATATATGCCACCGGGGAGCCCAATACATGTCACCCCCTGTTTAACTATATCCAAGCAATACAGGCTGGTTTGGTTAATTTGAACTCAAAACACCATCACTGTTAGATTAACACAATTATGTAAATTGTTTTTAAACATAATCTTTATCAGGAGAATATGTGTTTGGATATATTGGTGGGCAGTATGGCAGAAATGCACTAAATTCGATTAAACAGGACGAATTATGCTCTTTTTTGATGAAATGTGCAGTTGGTCAGTGTTCTTTACGTATGGACGAATTTGCGGTGCTCAGAGAAGCATATTGTTTGTGACAGAAACAACATTGATCATGCGTCATGTTGCCCACCTCTGTGTTATAACAGAAAATAACTTGTAGTTATGAAGAGAACTTAAGGAAAATAATAATTATTCAGATTTGTTCCTTCAAAAAAATGTTTTAAAACTTTTACAGTTTTTTGTTTACTACTGGAAAGGCCAGGGCACGTAGCTTTTTTGGGGAACTTTTTAAGAAATATCTGTTTTACTTTCTTATTTTCCAGCAGGAGAGAAACGCTCGCCCTTTGTCTTTGTCCGGTCATGTTGGCTTCGACAGCTTACCAGACCAGCTGGTCAATAAATCCACCAGTCAAGGCTTCTGCTTCAACATCCTGTGCATAGGTGACTCTCAGACTTACAACTTAAAAACAATTAAAGTATTATCTTAATGTTCAGTACAGTTTAATAGGAAATCTGCTATATGCGGAAGTGGCTGTGGGTACAGTGGGTGACGGAAACCCACTGGATTCTTTTCTTTCTTTCTTTTTTTGTATATATATTTTTTTGATTTTAAGTTGTATTATCTTTTTAATGTTCAGTACAGTTTAATAGGCATTTTTGCACCTGAACACATTGACAAAACTCTTCTCTGCAGGTGAGACGGGTATAGGAAAGTCCACTTTGATGGACACGCTGTTCAACACCAACTTCGAGAACTTCGAATCATCTCATTTTGAGCCACGTGTGAAACTTCGTGCCCAGACTTATGACCTGCAGGAGAGCAATGTGCGACTCAAACTCACCATCGTCAACACGGTGGGCTTCGGTGACCAGATGAACAAGCAGGAGAGGTGAGAAGGACCTGAAGGAGATGGACAGACAGGTGTACATTGGTGTGATTGAGTGATCACTTCATAGGCAAATGTTAAACCTAGATTAGTTTAAACGATGCTATCATTAAATGCATTTTGGTGCCCGCAAAGATGCAAAAACTTTGAAGTTTAAGGTGCAGTGTTGTAGTAGCTAACATAGTAATACCCAGAATTTAGAAGAACTGTCTCACAGACTTTGTAAAAGCAGCAGTCTTCTCTGCTTTTTGAGCTAAAAATCTGTTTTCCAGCTACCAGCATGTGGTGGATTACATTGACACACAGTTTGAGTCCTATCTGCAAGAGGAGCTGAAGATCAAGCGCTCACTGCATAACTATCACGACTCACGCATCCATGCCTGCCTGTACTTCATCGCCCCCTCTGGCCACTCCTTGAAATCACTTGACCTCGTCACCATGAAGAAGCTGGACAGTAAGGTCAGTACTACTCAGAGTAGAGCGGAGAAAGAAAATCTGTGTTCACACTAAAGGACTGATGGGAGATGAGTACAGTCTTTTTTGCGGCACTAAGGCCCAATCCCATTACTTCTTTTTTAGCCCTACCCCTTGTTTTCGAGTGTCACTTTGCCCCTTGGCACTGAGTTACAAGGGGTAGTGGTTGAATTTTTTTTTTTCTCTATGAAATGGGACCCTCAAATAAAAAAAAAAATATTGCTTCATTGCATCATATGCTTTTAAAGAGGGGGTATAAGACAATTATTTATTATCGCCCACTGCTAATTCGGTGGTGATACGATGAATAGATACTAGATGAATAGATCACCAGGTTCTTGTTCGAATTTTCCCGTTCCACTTTAAATGGTGCAGCAGTTACATTCTGGTGCTTCAGGCGTCAGAACTGCTGGACTATTTAAGGTAGAACGGGAAAGTTAGCTAGCTAGCTACCGACACATTAGCATGCTATTAGTGATTTTTTTTTGTGCTTGTTATGAAGAAAACGACCATAATACATTGAAACAACATTAAACTAAGATAATACAGTGGTTATCGTAATTTTTTTAACTGAGAAAATATTTACATTTGTGGGTTTCTTCGGTCTCTTGTTCAGCCATCTTGCTGGTTTTTCCTTTTTTTTTCCTCACAACACTCTGTTTGGAGTCTCTGAAAAACCTCAGTTTGGAGGGCCATGTAGCCCTAACACTTCGCCCTGCCCCTCTATCTCAACAAAAACTGGGACACCCTACCCCTAGACGTGAAGGCACCAAACAGAGGGCTAAGGGCTAAGTGATAGGGGAAAGGGGTGAAATGGGATTGGGCCTAAGTACTCTAGCCAATGTTAGCTGTGTTCAGAAACAGTGAAAATATATTTTGACAAATACCGTGTTTTCACATAGCTCTGTTAGCTCATTAGCTCATCTGAAGAGACAACCTCAGTTTCTCGTTTAGTACAGAAACCTACCAATTCCCCTCA